GCATAACACTTTTTTATGTGTGCGCGTGCTTCTACCAACATAGCTTTTTACAAGAGTGGACATATTCATTTGTCTCTTGCAGCTGCAGGGCTAGGAAGGTAGAAGAGCTTTGGTTTGCAGCAGATGCACGGCTTTACTGTTAGAGACTCGTAATCAGTTTTATGTTGTGTTATTACATTAGCTTTAGTGGCATTGGCACATGTCAGAGTGAGATATGAGTTCATGTTTCAGTCAAAGCACTGTGTCAGAAAGGAGTGAAGTTCTTAAAACCTTGTAATTCTTTGTAACATCTTTGGAATTGATTGCACAAGGATATACATAAACCTGTCATTCCATATAGAAATTGAATTTGCTGAGATGAACAGTGGATTACTGGATAAATAAAAAGAAAAAATGAATGGATTGTTGCATGTCACTCTTGTTTTTATTTATCCTTTCAAATATCTTAGATCTGGGAGTACGGATGGGGTATTTGGACCAGTCAGAAACCCCTGGAGCTATTCGAGACAGTACAAAGAAAAAAATCCATCAAAATCCCATTCTGAGAATGAAGATTCTGAGTGGGTAATAACAGGAGGAAGTTCAGGAGGCAGTGCTGCTGCCATATCATCTTTCACATGTTTTGCGTAAGATGCTTTTTAAAATTGTATTTAATTAAATTCCTCGAAATAATGTTGCAAGCTTTAATTTTATAATCTTTCAGTAAGCTAGTTTATAAACTAGGTTTCATGGAAAGTGTTCGTTTGAAACGAGAATGTTACTTCCACTGGTACACAAGAATTTGTTTTGTCATCTCTGGTTTATTCACAGAGTGTAGATGAATTTAAGCTTATTAATTTTAAGTGTCACACTGCATACTGATGTGAACACTTTGTACTGCGTGGAGTAAAATACTGATTTGATAAAATTTATCATTTTATCACACCTACTATCTTAATAGCGGCATGGTATTTGTGACGCATTTTCTACCCAGATTTGTGTTACATGTCATTTCTCAATTGTATTTTAGTGTACAAAGTCCCTGAACTGACACCAGTTAATAACTGCTCCTGTTCTTTGTTTTCATAGCTGGGTTATGTAATAGTACACATGCATGAGATCACATGCATGAGATTTGGGAACTAAAAGATTTCATTCAGATCCTTTACTTGAAGGAAGCCAGCTGCACAGATATACTAGATGGATATCTTAAAAAAAAAAAAAAAAAAAAAAAAAAAAGCTAGAATTTCTTAATTATTATTTTTCACATAGGATAGCAATCCTTTATTTAAGAAATCAATTGCTTGTATTGTCTTCCCTTTCAAATACATGAGAGACACCTGACCCTTAAAACTTTACACCTTGCTACTTATGCAGGTTTTAGAGCTACATAGTGGAGCTCAGTATATATAAGATTGTTTTAGTTGTGCTTTAACTCTTTGCTACCATTTACATTGAACACAGTGCAGCCTGGCCCAAGGGCTGCTGGTCCTTGTCCTACACCAGAACGGTCTGATCTTGGGATGGTCTGGCACCATCTCTGGTGGTTTGGGGCAAGCTTACCTTCCAATCTGCACTGTTTAGCATTTTGTCAAATCAGGGAGATTTTTCTTCCAGCTATTTTATTGCCCATTGCCTCTCACTGTTAGTTTCTTCCAAGTATCTGGAATGTTGCCAGTCTTTCTCTTTTCAATTGGAGTTTTGGATGTACAGAAATGTTACAAAATGATGGCGTTTTGCATTAACGTAACAGCTTTGAGAAAATTCAGTTTCAGCAAAGTCAATTGAATTGGTTCAGCCATCTCGCAAACAGATGCCTATGGAAAAAGTCACATCCACTTCAGTAAAAACTATGTCGTCTTCCTAAATTTGTTTTATATTTGTCAAAGATCTTGATGAAAACAGTTTGATTAAAAAAAAAAAGAGAGGGAGGAGAGCAGTTTAGCTAAAATCATTAGAAACATGAGAAGAACTGGTATCACTTCAGTGCAACTTGGCTGTACCATTGCAATTCCTAAAGTAAAAATCTTAGTTTAGAAAGGAGACTTCCCTTACAAAAGAACAATAAAATGAGTCAACTTACAATAATAAGAAGAAATTGTGTACTAAAATTACACTTACAGTATCATAAGGTGGGAGTTCTGATGCTGTGCTTTGTAGGCTTGGAAAGCAGGAAAAACGTCCTCTGCTGTGATGGGAATTGTTCACTTTTATTGGGAGGGATCACTATTTCTTTGGATACTGGGAAGAGCTGCTGCGCTATTGGCAGCAGGATAAATGAGATCTGAATGTCTGGGCCGTACACGCAGTTTCATGGGGCATATCTTTCCGAGAACGCAGAAATGGAATAGACCAACAGAGATGCCAGAAATAGATATTTAGGAACCTATTCAGAGGGCCTGAATTCTCTCTCTCTGTCACTGCTTGGTGGAGAGAACTGAGCTCTTCCAATGACTGATTCAGAGGCCCTAAGAAGGATACTGAGAACAGATTAAAAACTAGTGGATGTAAAGAGCTGACTGAAATTTAGACTATAAGTATGACTTCTAATCTGGAAGAATATACATGTTTTTAAAACTACACATCATAAAGCCATGCATTTTTATTGTTTGGAAGTGTTTTGAATTATTTTACTAATGGTAATTCTTTTGAAACCATAGAGCTTTAGGGTCAGACACAGGAGGATCTACCAGAAACCCTGCTGCTCATTGTGGAGTAGTAGGTTTAAAGCCAACATATGGACTGATTTCTCGCCATGGTCTCATTCCTTTAGTGAACTCCATGGACGTGCCAGGAATCTTAACCAGATGCGTGGATGATGCAGCAGTTGTGTTAGGTATTTCTACTCTATATATCTTTGTTTACTTGTTTACAAAACAGATCAAATTCAAGTTTTTCACTGTGTTTTTTTTTTCCTATTCACATGTCATTTCATATTTCAGGTTTACTTGCTGGGCATGATCCTAAAGATTCTACTACAATTCAGGGCGCCTTTAAGCCATTTGAGATACCTGATTCAATAGACGTCAGAAAGCTCTGCATAGGAATTCCTAAGGTAACTTTTAAATCCTGTCAATATTTGATTTGATGGGCAGGAATAGCAAATGGCAGTTGCTGCTGATGTGTTGTAGGCAACATTTTTTTTCTAGCTTCCTACTTGCATTAACCCTAATATTAGGGTTTAAATGTGAAGACATGCAGCCCATGTAGTACAGAACAGTACAGTGTGATCCCATAAAGGGATGGACAAGCAACTAACAGGGGAACTTCTCATCAAGAAATTGCTGCTGAAATTCCTTTGCTTACACACGCAGGTTGAGCCTACTGAAATGAACGTAATACTTTTGAAAGATTGAATCCTGTTAACTTCTTTTACTATATAGTGTATATATAACTTCTATAATATGTAGTAGGTACAGAAAGCTGTAAATTCTTAAAATCATTCAGTGGTGAGGAAATAGCTTCAAAGTATTTTAGCAGATAGCATTTGCATATTGACTGCCACTGAAAGTAATCCAATGTATAAAATAATTTTCCCTGTTTTTCTTTAAGGAATACCACGTACCAGGGCTTTCTAGTGAAATTCAGGCACTCTGGTCAAAGGCTACTGACCTTTTTAAGGATGCAGGTGCTAAAGTAATTGAAGTGAGTTTACCCCATACTTCTTACTCAATTGTCTGCTATCATGTGCTGTGCACAGCAGAAGTAGCATCAAATATGGCCAGGTTTGATGGACTGGAATATGGTAAGGCCTTAGAATTTTTATTTGAGCCCATCAAAAGTATCAGTTATAATGTGCATGCATTTCAAAAGTGTGTTTTTTTTTGTGATGTTTCTCTATGTTACAGTAGAGCAAAAACTTTGTTCAAGTAAAGCTGGAGTAACTCTCTCAACTGAGATGACCTAAAGGAGGTGTTCTTGCTGTTGTAAAACCCAGATATCCCTTAGGCTAAGGGAATGAATATATTTTTTATTTTTTATAATTATGATTTAGTATTGCTGAGTGTTTATAATATATTTGATAGAATAGCAGGTGGTATTGCATTCAGATTTATGATGGTACTGCCTGCAGTGTTACATTGTTTGTTTGTTTGTTGTTAGCTCTTAAATTAAACCTACTGTGTGGGTAGTGCCTTATAGTGCTTTATCAGGGCTAGGCAGAGGAAAAAAAATCAGTCTAACCAAGCTAAGCTTTTTATTGGTGACTAGAACACTTGTACCAGTGTAAATGGTGTATTCAGTGCCTTTTGGGGATAAAAAATATCCTGCATTTGATTTTTTTTTCTTTTCACTTTATGTTTTTTAATGATTGCGTAATATACAAATACGAACTAAAGAACAATTGATAACCCATGGCCAAAGGAAAGAGCTAACCTTAAAATAACTTTTTTTTTGGTGCTTGTATTGTATGACTAGACCAAGGAGGATAAGCAGTAATCCATTAAACCTTTACTGTGTCAAATGTACGTCTATTATTTGTTCATGTATCTTGTTTACCACTATTGCCACCACATACACAAAATTCTATTTCAGAAGATTAAGTACTAATATTTCAGAGAGCATTAAATAAACAGCATTGCAAAGAATTGGCAACTCGCCTTTGTTTTTTACCCTGTAATAATTTGATATAGAAGAGATGCAAGTCACTTGAAAGCCGTGACAGATATTTCTATTACATTAATTTTTGTTTTGAACCTAGGCTTTTATAATGTTTGAAGCATCCTACTTGGAGTCTGCTCTGTGATCCCAAAGCTCCAATAAGCAAAACCAAGATTTTAAATGATATTCCAAGTCTTTTCATGTATCTGAATTGTAGAACAGAGTGCTGGTCCAAACTCTACAGTAAAGCGCTGCTCTATTGCAGCAAGTGAAATTGCATTAATATAGCAGAGCTTTTTCTCAATCCTCTGTCTTTTAGTATGCTGCAGTTACTGAAAAGATTTAAGGTGTCATAGAAAACGGCTTCTTGTGCTTCAGAGATGTCAACAGGCTTAATATCAGGCTTTATATGAATGAGTTAGTTATTTTCACAAATCTGCTTTTAGGCCTGAGGGAGAATTACTGATTATCTACCTCCTTTGAAGAGTATAGATCCACGTTACGGAGTTCTGTTGTTTCTTTGTTCAAGATAAGCTCAGTACTAAGTCAGCATAGTTATTGAAGTATTTACATGTGTTCCTTTTAGGAGAGGGAAAGCACTTTTTTAAAAAAAATCAGATATTAAATATAGTAGCTTTCTCAGCTTAAGTTATTAGGGTGAATAGAAATATTTCATTTGTAGACCCATGAGTGTTTAGGGTTAAAAGCTGTGTAATATCTCTATTAAAAAAAAAAAAGAGAGAAAAATGCTTTCTTGTTTTTCCAAAATAGTAGCATGTCAGACTGCAATAAACGGTGTTACTATATGTACTGTTATTTTACTGTTGCTAAATCTTAAAGATCGCAAGACCCATTAATCTCCAGATTGGCTTTTTCTTTCTTTTCAGGTCATCGTGCTGCCATGAAGCAGTCCACAGAAAGCATGTATGCTGCCACACGCCGAGAAGGTTTTAATGATGTTGTAAGAGGAAGGATACTATCAGGAAATTACTTCTTATTGAAAGAGTAAGCAGAGTCCATCTTAAAGTTCTAATTTACTAATTTAACAATTTCTTATGCCAATTGTAATGAAATTGGCCATCATGACTTGGGAAAAAAATGCTGTTCCTGTACCATTATCATCTAGCCAACTGCCAATAATGAATGAAAATGTAACCTTTTAGTCCTACCAGGGAGTTTTTTGACCTAGTTAAGTAAAATAAGACAGTAATTTTTTACTCCCTTATCAGAGTATTGCCGCCTGTTAAATTACGCAAAAAATCTGTCCTACTATATGTCATTGAAGCTGTCACTGTTGCAGTGTTGCAAGTTCTGTAGCTATTAATCTCATTGAAGTTGCTCAGAAGTCTGCTGGAGAAGTAAGAAGGTGTAGCAATTAACTATAGCATCCTATCTCAGTATGGAGGAGAGGGAAGGAACTGGCAAAGGTAGTGAACTAACATTTTATAAAAGTCAGGTGTTTATCAAACGCATCCAAGAAAAGCATTGCTCAGCGTTTGGGGGGCTGGGGGTCTTTTTTGGTTGTTTGTTTTTTTTCATTCCTTACGAACATAATTTTAAATTGTTAGAACGTTTATTTTCTCTGTATTTTCTTTAATATATAAAACAAAAAAAAAAAGTGTAATCAGGTTCAAAGCAAATGCACTGCAGAAAGAGCTCTGTCGGCAAGAGTATTCACGAGATGTGACTTATAGCAGCTCTCAGACAGGAATGTTGCCAGTGAGTGTGTAACAACCAGCTTTTATGGAATGCTGGCATACCTGCTAAGTATGCTCCTTCTGGTTACAACTGTCCAGATCAGCTTTCCTAAGTCTAGAGTGAATGCTTTAAAATTCATGTAACACACTTTGTAGTGAAGGAATGCAAAACTGGCTTGAGTGAAGACTGAACAGTAGGAGTCCTATTCCTGTCAACAGTAAATTGCTTTTAGAGAACAGAACCCAAGGTTCAGAAAGCGTTCTTGGAACAAACTGCAGAGACGAGTGTCTCCCTTCTGCAAGCATAGCAATTCACTGAGTATTTTTATCTGCCTTTGGAAATGTGTAAAATGCCTAGCTGTTTGATTCATGAAATGATAGATGCTTGTAAGCATATCAAAATTAATGGAGAGTATGTGCTTGATTTAACATTTTTTCTCTCTCTCTCTCTCTCTCTCTTTTTTTTTTTTTAAAAAAAAAAAAAACCAAATAGTCTTTCAAGCTTAATATTCTGAGTTCCTTTTTATTCCTTGTTTCCTTAAATTAACAGCGGGCATGACTTCAGAAGTGACTCAAAGATGGCTGGTTTTCATAAAATAACTTGTTAACTAGAATCTGGGGTCTCTTTTTTTTTTAACGGATGTTTTCATTTGTTTTCTAGAAAATTAAATCTTTCCGTTATTCTGGTGAGAGATTGAATTTGGGGCAATTTAAGTTGTTTTATCTGTACACTCTCTGGCAGACTGTTCTGTCTTAGGATACACTTATACTCTTATTTTAGAGTAGGTGTTTTTTTTTTTTTAGATGACCATTGTTTTTGAAAGAACTTCTAAATTCAGAGATATTCTGCATATGAAATTAAAGGGAATTATAAACAAAGGCAACCAGGTGGTTTCTGCTTCGAAATTGCAGAAGGAGAGTTTAGAACTCCATGGACTACAGCTTGCATATTTACGTGCAGAAGAAAAATTTGTCAGTCAGTTTTCCCTGACCCCTTAGTGGCTATGAGAGCATAAGCACCATGTTTGTTGACTTAGGTTTACACTATATCGAACCCCACTGTGTGTATTGAACCAGGAGGAATAATGAGCTCGTATTTTCTAAACTCACTAGGAAGTTAACCTCTGTATTTTCAGAATTAAAGCATTCAACCCTCTTCTTCATATTTCTGCCTAGAAACTATGAAAAGTACTTTGTCAAGGCACAGAAAGTCAGACGCCTCATTGCCAATGACTTTGTGAAGGTTTTTGGAAGTGGTGTTGATATTTTGCTCACTCCTACCACTCTGAGCGATGCAGCACCGTACGTGGAATTCATCAAAGAAGACAACAGAACCCGCAGTGCGCAAGATGATATTCTAACACAGGCTGCAAACATGGCTGGTGAGTAAGGACAGGAATCCAAGTACTTTTTTTTCCTCCCCAGTTAGTTTTTTGTCTGTTCCCTTCAGTCACTTCACCTCTTGTTTTGTATCAAGAGATATCAAACCTATGTTGTAAATCATACATGATAAGCAGGTGAGGAGGGATTATAAGATGCTTATAAAATCACTTATAAGATGCCTTAAAATGTAAAGCTAGTTTAAAACAATGCTCCTTGGAGCTGGGTCGATGCTGCAGAGAAGATGGATCTTTCAGGTTTGGGAAGCTGAAATCTTTCTGATGAAAATCAATTCCCATTTGAGAAGATGCTGTCTCCTTAAATCTCTCTAATTCATTTCCTTGTGATTGCCTGACAGTACCTTTAGTTCATTGACTTACAGGGTTTTAACTGGTTTCTTTCCTGTATATGTATGTATTCTGGTTCACTTAGGATTGTTATGAAAATGAATCGGATAGTTTGTTTAATAGTAAACCTTTGTGTGTATAACTTCTCTTCCTTCAGGACTGCCAGCCATAAGTGTTCCTGCAGCTCTTTCGAAGAGAGGTTTGCCACTTGGGCTTCAGTTCATTGGACGTTCATTCCAGGAGAAGCAGCTTCTCACTGTGGCCAAATGGTTTGAAAAACAAGTTAAATTCCCAGTGATCCAGCTAGAAGACATGAAGAGGCATGACTGCAATGTCTTTCAGCATCAGAAATCTGTTTCTTCTTTGTAAGACAGATCTTGCTAGTCAGCTAAAACAAGAAAGCTTCAGGGTGGCTCTCTAAAAATGTGTTTTTGCAGTTAATTCTATTCTGCAGAAATAATAATGTAGCTTAAGAAGACCATATGCACTAATGTAGGATGGAATCATAACAGCTTGTTACTGTGTAATTAAGCTGAAGTGAATCATTAAGCAAACATATTTGTGTTATTAAGAGCCATTTATAATTGCCACTGTTTTCACTAGATTCAGATTGCACGTTGCCTGTGGAGGTTTTTATTTTTCTTTTTATTCCTGTCCGATCTCTAGAGGGCGTCTAAGGTATCTGGCCCAGTAGAGAACTAGCCTGAAACCTTTGTGTGAAAACAGCATGGGTGCCAAAGGGCTTGGTTTCCTTCTGGAATGTAGGCCTTTGTAATGAAAACAACCAGCCAAGGTGTAATGGAACAAAGGAATCAAGGACCCATGCACCAGCAGGTAAATGCAAAAGGGAAAAAGGAAATAACGTGGAAGTTCATTAAAAGTGCTTTCCTCAAGCATGTGCTGGAGGTGAAATAGCTCCTGGGTGTACAAATTCTACAGATTACATCCGTTGCAAGAAGGATTAATTCTAGATTTCTTCTGCAGGAAGATGCCCTCTAGCCTTTGTGTAATCTGTATTTGGTTGTTTTTGGTTTTGTTTTCTTCCTACATTGCTGCTCTCTGTAATCAGCACTTAAAATTATTCCTTACTAAATAAGAAATTAGCTCCTGCAGTTTAGCTCACCAGAAGCATTATACCAACTCCCTTTGGATGGATGGTTATTCAATACAATAGTAACTTGAAACCAATTTTCAAACTATGGTATTAGGCAAGTGGAAGACACACTGAACAACTAAGAAGCTCCTGCAAATGTTGTTTCCATTTTCTATAGTTGCAGAAGGGTGGAAGATTAAAGTTGTAAATTTGTATTTGTATCAGAAAAAAAATGGTTTCGTTACCCACACTTTCGCTGATATAAAGCAAGGATCTGAAGCCAGTCTCCAGTATCTCGGTAGGTGCTCCAAGGTGTCCTTCCATGCTTCTTCAGTTGCTAGCTTTCAAAGTGGAAACATCTGAATAATTATTTACTCAATGAGGAGCCCAGTAGAGAAGGTACAATTAAGACATGTTTATCCCACAACTCTGAATAGTGTCATTTAAAACTTTGTTGATGATTGAGACCTGTCTTCAAATTAGAGCTGTAAGGACTGGTAAAACCAAGATCCTGGTGGGTGCTCAAATTTCTGGGCTCTTAGATTCCCAGCAGCCCCACAAAGTCTCCTGCTCCTTCCCACCTTCTGCTGCTTTCCCCTATCGGGGGACTCCATACCTTAAGCTCTTGCTGCAGTCCCCAGTGTAATACTGGAATTCCACCACAATGAAAGTGAATTTCGAGGTATAAGCAACAACATTTCATGTTTTTTGAGGTGATATCTGAGATACTTGGTGTCTTATTAGAAAACCAACCAAAAATAGTTGACTGTGCATTTCAGCAGAGCCTGAAGTCGCTTAATGCCAGGCTTAGCGCAAGGCGATTCAGGGCTGGGCGCAGGACTGCTGAGCAGAGGGTTGTGCAGCTGCTGCCAGCAGCCAGCCAGGGCTCCACGGTTACAAACAGTAACACTTCTATTGTAGTGCAGTGAAACGCTCACAATCCCTTGTTACCAGAGCAAAGGATTTCAGAACACAGGAAGGTCTGGAGAGGAATAAAAAAATCTGCCTATATGAACATTTTGTACAGCTGTCTTGAAAAAACAATCCACTGATACAATGGAGTTGAAACGCTTTGGCACTGTTATGTGGCTGCAGCAGGTGGCCAGGTGTAACCTTACCACCCAGCGAGCCCCGGGAAAGATTTGCAGCCAGAGGATAATTTCAGGGCTTCCTGAAGGAAATAAAAGCTCGAGCTTTAACAGATGAACAATCTGGTCGAATGTTTGGGAGGGAGAGATATTTTTCTCCAAGGACTCAGAAATAGTAAGATTATTACATAGTAGAGAAGTTATTTTGAGAAGAAAATTGTTAAGAACTGCTGTGAGATATTTTAAAATACAGCTGCAATCTGATGTATATATTCCTGCTGTGTGCTTTCAGGTGTTTTCCCTTCACCCTCCTTAAACTTTTCACAGCAAGGACAAATTCAAAGCAAACTTGCTTTCGCATGGCCGCAGCTCTTTACTGTTCACATGTTTCTCATTTTCTCAGGTGTAGGGCACTCAATAGTTACCATGACGTCATTGTTGTTTTTCCTCTTACTTAGTGCTAGTCACTTTGCTGCTGCTTTTATAGTTCACCTAGGAGCTAATCTGTGCTGGAAAGCTGCAGTGGGCAATGTGCTTGGTAGCCTACCGGGGCCGCCCGCCTTGCCAGGGTGTCCCAAGGGCTTCTCCTTAGCTCTGCGCCTCTCAATGCTGTTGAGAACTGTATGATCTATAGCTCTGGACTCGTCTACTTCCAGGACAGAGAAGTACAGAAAATTCTGCAGCTAGAAAGTGATGAAGAGATGTGAACAACATGTCTACAACTATTAAGAGGCCGGTAGCGTTATACAACATCACACTTTAAATTAGTGACCATAATGCCGCAAGAGAGGGCAGAAAAAAATGCAACAGAAAAGGAGCAACTAAATTTGGTGTTTTCAGCATGTCTATTAAATAAAGAGGAAGGTATCTAATTACATGAATGTTAGCGAGAGGCAGGAAATGAGAAACACCATCATCTTAATTAATTTACTATGTTGCTTGTTGACTGAGGCACAGATGCAATTAAAGGATTCCCAAGTTAATGTTTTCTGTCCCTTCCCCCCCTTTTTTTTTTCCTTTTTAAAGAGCCTTTTTCTCCCACCCGGCACAGACATCATCTCGTGCTTGTTCTTGAACAGCAACAAAAAGAACTCAGAGAAACAAGTCTGGGCTCTGCAAGGGACCTTTGCCTCTTCCCACGTGTGGTTTTATGGCGTAGTGTGTGCTGTGATACCCTTGCAGTAATGATGGAAGTACTGTGAAGAGTTGTAAGAAACTGCCATGGCAGAATCACAAATGCACTTCAAAACGCTGGGAACCAACATTTGTTTTAGCTCGAGGGCCTGTTCTAGTGCGTCAGTTTGCTGGCTGCTGTATTTGGCTTGCTTTGCCACACTGCTCTTGGCACAAGTGGCAGGTTGCTGTTGCAAGCACCATTTGCCAACACTGATCCCAGTGGGGAGGCAAACTCCTACGCTGCAGTATACTAATGATAAGCACCAGGCAGTTTATCGTGCCACCCAAGATGAAACTTCTCAGCTTGGGAAGAGCACAGAAGCACAGAAAGGTGGTTCAAGCGGACTCTGAAACAGCAGGAGTTGGAAAACACATGGAAGAGAAGAAGTAGCAAGTGTTGTAGGAGCTGATGACTTGCTTAAGAAGCAGAAGGTCTAAGATAGGAAGACAGAAGAAATGAAAGATGAGGCAAAGGCGAAGGAGGCCCCCAACTTTATGCTATTGGAATCCTTGAAGGCTCGCTGACCTTTTTGAAGTGTATATACCTGCCTATAGCACCTAGAGTCTGCTTGATCTAGTCTACTGCCAGCGTGTTTAAGATTTGAGCTTGCAGACTTTTAGATCAAAGTGCTACTACCCAAGAGGGAGATGCGTATGAGTTGCTTAACAAAAAAGAGAATGAAAACACACTATTAGCAATATACTTTAGGAAGACTAGGACCACTCTGCAAAAGGGACGTCGTGGGTCAGAGTTCTAGTAACCATTCCACGCAATCAGCTTTATAAATAAATGTGTCTTTTGTCAGGCATTTTGATCACAGCCAAGCTTCGCACACATAATTGCTCAGGGCAATATTGTTCTTTTGTTTAGTTATGCCTTCTCACTCCGTGTGCTTAATTCACTATTGTATTTTTAGAATATGGTCACATTCCTCCTTAACCTTTGCAGTGCTAGGACAAATAAATTAAACTCCAGTTTGCTCCTGTGTGGTAGTCTGCTCCCTGCTAATCTCGACAGCTGTTGTCTGCACCTGCTCCAGCTGAGTTTATCTGAATTCATCTTCTGACATGGGTGGCCACGCAGACAATTCCAGGTGCAGTCTTGCAAGTGCGACCACCTTAGTGTTTCCCTATCTTCCTTGGAAAAGTCCTCCCTGGAGCACCCTGGAGTTGTGCATAGCCACGTTACACCACACCAGTAGCTCAAAGCCGATTTATGATTAACCAGAGCACTTGGGGCTTTCTCTGTCTCCACTGGTGTCAACAGAGAAGCATTCCTGGTATGAGCTGGGCACTCATTACTGAGCCTGTGGGTTCGTGACCCTGCACTGCATACAGACTTTACCTCTGTACTGCTATTCAATTTATCAGCGTGTTCCGGTTTTCCTGTAGAATCCAATTCTCCACTTTTTGACAGTACCTCCGTGGCTCATGTAATCAGCAACAAAGAATGTGTCCTTCAAACAACTTTCATGTATCTCTGTAACTTCATTGCAACAATCTTCCAAGCCATCATGGCCAATGGATGTAGAAGACAGTAAAAAGTGTCTTCGAAGTCCTCCCAAGTGCCCTCAATAGGTGCCCTGTGCCTGGGTGAAGCACTAGCACCACAAAGCACCACCTAAGGACAGCTATGTATGCCCTGAAAAGTTTAGCCACTCAGGAAAAAAAGAGAAAAGGCTCTTTTTTTGCCGCCAGTCTATACAATGATGCCTTATTTTTGAGGACTCAAACCAAACAGGGCCCCTTTGTGAATAAACACTGTTCAAGAAGATGAAGAAGAGAACCTGCCCCTCAGAAGACCTTGCATCTCTTGTATTCTCCACAGCCCCATAACGACAGGCTCCAAAGCCCAAGATAATATGCTTTTGTGAGAAAGGACTCCCTTTTTTTGCTCCTGTATACACAGCACTTGAAACACAAGAGCTGGAATGAGCTATTATCAGTCACCAACAATGGAAACGCGCTGACTCACTAAAACCAGTCCTTCAATAGGCAAAATCCAGCCCTGTTGCTAAGAGTGACTGCTAATAGCAATAGCTTTTCTGAAACTGTGCAGGGAAATCTTTAGATGATTGCTGCAACCAACTGATGTTACAAGGAGAACGCTGTGCTCTCTCTCACTTTATACAGAAAGTGTAATATTTAGTCTAATGTTTAAACTAAGGTTTACCCCAGAGGAGGAATCATGATGAAAATGGCAACACTGAAATACA